GATAAATACCTAGAAGCATACAATCTTCCAAAACTGAATCAGAGAGAATGTGAATAGACAGATTACAACTAGTGAAATTAAAGTAGTAATAAAAAAAAAAACTCCCAACAAACAAAAGTCCCGGACTGGATGGCTTCACAGGTGACTTTTGCCAAACATTCAAAGAAGAACTAACACCTATCCTTCTCAAACTATTCCAAAATATTCGAGAAGAGGGAAAACTCTGAAGCTCATTTTATGAGGCCAGTATTATCCTAATTTCAAAACCAGATAAAGAAAGAAAATTATAGGCCAATATCTCTGATGAACATAGATGCTAAAATCATTAACAACATATTAGCAAATCAGATCCAGCAATACATTTAAAAGATCATACAACATGATCAAGTGGGATTTATTCTGGGGATGTAAGGCTGGTACAATATTCACAAATCAACAAATGTAATGCCTCACATAAACAAAATAAAAGATAAAAACCATATGATCATATAAATAGAGGCAGAAAAAGCATTTGATAAAATCCAGCACCCAGCCCTAACGGGTTTGGCTCAGTGGATAGAGCATCGGCCTGTGGACTGAAGGGTCCCCAGTTTGATTCTGGTCAAGGGCATGTATCTTGGTTGCGGGCATATCCCCAGTAGGGGGTATGCAGGAGGCAGCTGATCGATGTTTCTAACTCTCTATCCCTCTCCTTTCCTCTCTGTAAAAAATCAATAAAATATATTTTTAAAAAAATCTAGTACCCATGTATGGTAAAAAAAAATAAATAAATATATATATATTCAGCAAAGCAGGAATAGCAGGACCGTACATCAACATAATAAAGGCCATATGTGAAAAACCTATAGCCAACATCATATTCAATGGGAAAAACTACAAATATTCCCCTTAAGATTGGGAAGAAGATAGAGATGTCTCCTTTCTCCATTCTTATTCAACACTAGAGGCCCGATGCACGAAATTCGTGCACGGGGTGTGGGGTCCCCTCAGCCCAGACTGCACCCTCTCCAATCCGGGACCCCTCAGGGAATGTCCAACTGCCGGTTTAGGCCCGGGATTGGGCCTAAACTGGCAGTCGGACATCCCTCTCACAATCCTGGACTGCTGGCTCCTAATCACTCACCTGCCTGCCTGCCTGGTCGCCCCTAACTGCCCCCCGCCCTGCCGGCCTGGTCGTTCATAACTGCCCCCTTCCTCCCGCCCCACTCGCCCGCCTGGTCGCCCTACGCAGCCTGCTGATTAGTCATTAGGTCATCCCTCACTAACCCCCTTACCGGCCTGGTCGCCCCACACAGCCTGCTTGTTCAGTCATTTGGTCGTCCCTCACTAACCCCCCTGCCGGCCTGGTTGTAGGCAGCCATCTTGTGAAGGCTCCAGGGTTAATTTGCATATTACCTCTTTATTATATAGGATTTATTATATAGGATAGTGCTGGAAGTCCTAGCCACAGTGATCAGACAAGAAGAAGAAATAAAAGACATTCAAATTGGAAAGGAAGAAGTATAACTGTCATTATTTGCAGATGACACATTACTGTATATAGAGAACCTTAAAGATCCCACACACAAAAACTACTAAAACTAAAAAATAAATTCTGCAAAGTAGCAGGATACAAAATAAACATCCAGAAATCAGTTGCATTTTTGTACACCAATAATGAACTATCAGAAAGAGAAACTAAGAAAACAATTTCATTCAAAATTGCTCCAAAAAGAATAAAACACCTAGGAGTAAATTTAACCAAGGATGTAAAAGACCTGTACTCAAAAAATTATAACACACTGAAGAACAAAATTGAAGAAGATACAAATACCAGTAAGTGGAAGCATATACCATGTTCATGGATAGGAAGAATTAACATCATTAAAAAGTCCATACTACCCAAAGCAATCTACAGATTCAATGCAATTCCTATCAAGATACCAATGGCATATTTCACAGAACTAAAACAAATATTCCAAAAACTTACATGGAACCACAAAAGACCTCAAATTGCCACAGCAATCTTGAGAAAAAAGAACAAAGTTAGAGGAATCTCGCTACCTGATATCAAACTATACAAGACCAAAGTAATCAAAACAGTATGGTATTGGCATATTGATCAATGGAACAGAATAGAGAGCCCAGAAATAAACCCATGCCTTTAGTCAATTAATATTTTACAAAGGAGGCAAAAACATACAGTGGGGTAAAGATAGTCAATTCAATAAATGGTGTTGGGAATATTGGACAGATGTGTGTAAAAAATGAAACTAGACCACTTTCTGACACTATAACAAGAATAAACTCTAAATGGATTAAAAACTTAAATGTTAGGCTCCAAACCATAAATATCCTAGAAGAAAACATAGGCAGTAAAATCTCAGTCATTTCTTATAACAATATTTTTTCTGATATATCTCTTCGGGCAAGGGAAACAAAAGAAAAACTAAACAAATAGGACTACATCAAACTAAAAAGTTTTTGCACAGCAAAAGAAACCATCAACAAAATAAAAAGACAACCCACTGAATGGAGAACATATTTGTCCATACATCCGATAAGGGCTTAATATTCTAAATTTAGAAGGAACTTATAATAAAACTCAACACCAAAAAAAAGAAAAAATCCAATTAAGAATGGGCAAAGGACCTGAATAGACACTTCTCTAAAGAAAACATACAAATGGCTAATGGATATATGAAAGCATGCTCAACAATACTAATCATCAGAGAAGTGCAAATTAAAACCACAATGAGATATCATCTCTGCACCTGTCATGTGGAGAAAAGGAAATGTAGATTGGTGCAGCCACTATGGAAAGCAGTATGGAGTTACCTCAAAAACTTAAAAATGGACCCAGTGAGTCCACTTCTGGAAATATAACCAAAGAAACCCAAAACACTAATTCGAAAGAATATATGCACCCCTATGTTCATTGCAGCATTATTTACAATAGCCAAGATTTGGAAGCAACCCAAGTGCCCATCAGTAGATGAGTAGATAAAAAAGCTGTGGTACATCTACACAATGGAATACTATAACGCTACTAAAAAGAAGGAACTTTTACCATTTGCAACAGCATAGATGGAACTGGAGAGCATTATGCTAAGCGAAATAAGCCAGTCAGAGAAAGATAAATATCACATGATCTCACTCATATGTGGGATATAATGATCAACATAATTTGATGAACAAGAATAGATTCAGAAACAAATGGTAGGGAAGGGGGGGGTGGTTAGAGAGCAACCAAAGGACTTGTATGCATGCATATTAGCACAACCAATGGACACAGACACTGGGGCGGGGGGGGCCTGCCGGGGTGGGAATGGCTGGGGGAGGGATTCAATTGGGGAAAAAGGAAACATATGTAAAACTTTAGACAATAAATAAATATTTAAAAAAACAATACTAATCATCAGAGAAGTGCAAATTAAAACTACAATGAGATATCATCTCTGCACCTGTCATGTGGAGAAAAGGGAATGTAGATTGGTGCAGCCACTATGGAAAGCAGTATGGAGTTACCTCAAAAACTTAAAAATGGACCCAGTGAGTCCACTTCTGGAAATATATCCAAAGAAACCCAAAACACTAATTCGAAAGAATATATGCACCCCTATGTTCATTGCAGCATTATTTACAATAGCCAAGATTTGGAAGCAGCCCAAGTGCCCATCAGTAGATGAGTAGATAAAAAAGCTGTGGTACATTTACACAATGGAATGCTACTCAGTTGAAGAAATAAGGAAATCTTGCCTTTTTCGATAGCATGGATGGACCTGGAGAGTATTATGCTAAGTGAAATAAGTCAATCAGCGAAAGTTAAGTACCATATAATTTCACTTACATGTGAAATCTAATGAGCAAAATAAACTTAAAAAGTGGAGACAGACTCATGAATACAGAGAACATACTGACAGCTATCTGAGGGGAGGGAGTTGGAGACTGGGTGAGAAGGGTGAAAGGATTAAGGAAAGAAAAAAAGAGAAAGGCTCACAGACACAGAGAACAATAAGGTGATTGCCAGAGGGAAGGGGGTTGAGGAGAGGTAGAAGAAGGGAAAGGGGGAATAAATGGTGATGGAAGGAGACTTGACTTGGGGTGGTGAACACACAATACAGTATACAGATGATGTGTTGTAGAATTGTATACCTGAAACCTGTATAATTTTATTAACCAATGTCACCCCAATAAATTCAATTTAAAGATATATAAAGAAATAAAATAGTATGGTAATGGAAAAAAAGAACATTTTATGGAAAGAAGGAGGCATCATAATCGGTGCGCTGAGATCTCTCCCTGCAACCCCAGGTGCTCCAGGCCAGCTCTGCTACTGGAGACCAACTGGACCAGGGTGCCCTTCTTAGAGGCATTTGGGGAATGAAAGCAGCAGTGGGCAAAGATGCCTCTTTGTGACCACTAGATGGTGCCAGACACTAAGCATTGTCTTTGTCCATGGCGGAAGAAGGTGGTCCCTCAGAGCAGAGGTACTGATTAGGATTTGAAATATAAGGTGAGAATATTGTTATGAAAGTAGTTGCCACTGTTGAATACCAACTGTGTGCCAAACAACACTGTGGGAATATTTGCATCATTTATTCAACATAGTGAATGAGCATCTATTATGTGGCTGGCACCAATCCTCTTCTTAGAGCAGAGAAAGCAAACATACAATATGTCAAGTGGAGATAAATGCCAGAAGCATGAAGTAAGGTCAGGGATGGGGAGGGATGTGCTGTTTTATACAAGGTAGCCAGGAAAGCCTTGCTGAGGAGGTGACATTTGACTTATTAGTGCTCACAATGCCATTTTATAGAAGGGGAAATGGAGGCTAAGAAATGTAAAATAAGTTGCCTACTGGATCCTGGAGGTGGAAATGAGCATGGACAGGGGACAGGGGAGATTGGGAAGAGGTTCAATAACCCCTCCCCATCCCTGCTAGACAGAGAGGCTCCACAAACCCATGGTGGGAGTGGGAGCCCCTCCCCCACCTCCAGCCCTAAAACCACACCCCTCACCTGTGAAGAAGAACCACAGCACTCCTAGGGTAGTGGCCGCACGCACACCTGTGCCAGGGCTGCCCATCTTCTTCTGAGGCAACTGACAGCTGGGCTCTCGGTGGCGGAAGGCTTCCCCTGCCTGTGAGGAAGAGGAATTGAAGCCTTTGTCTCAAAAGGTCCTCCCCAGGCATACTCACCCCATCTCCCCTGGACCAGCTTGGGGCAAGGTTGCAACTGCCAGCTGAGAGGTCCTTCCTCCCACGCACCCACAAGGCTCTCTGCTGAGGGAATTTCCGAGAGATGCTGGCAGGAACTGAGTCACTGGGGAGGCTAAACCAGGAGAGGTGGCTGTGACCCACCCTTTCAGAACGAAGATGCAAGTATAAGGAAGAGGAGGCAAGTAGAGGCAAGGTCAGCCTGCTCAGGGCAAGGATGTGCTCAGATCAGCGTGGGGAGAGGAGCTGAGGTTGGAGCCAGACTTAGACATAGACTAAGAGGTCTGGCCTTTACCTTGAAGGCAGCTGGGAGCCACCAAAGATTCTGGAATTGAGGAAAGGATATGGTCCTACTTTGCTTCATAAAGATTACTCTGCAGGCATCTGCAGGACAGAAGAGACAAAGTAGATCTGGGTGAAAGAGACAGAACTGGAGGATGTGGGGACAGAGAAAGGGAGCAGTGAGGGGCCCACGGTTTTGTGTCCAGTGACCGGTGGGGTACTCACTGAGACAGAGACGGGTTCAGTGCAGGGCATGTGATGTTAGCATGGTTTGTGCAGAAACTTCCAAGAGCAAGTTCTAGGAGGCAGCTGGGTGTATGAGTGTGGGGCCAGAGAGAGGGAACATTTGCTAGTTTCATAGATATAGATTGAGTGACCAAGACAATCAGAAATGGAAGAGGCTAACCTCTTGGGGCTGACCCCCAAGACTGGAGGCAGGACTGAGTGAGAGGTAGGTCTGTGGCCTCAGCAGGGACCCCAGACCTCCCTGGGTTCAGCCCTGCTCCCAACCTTGGCTGTGCCCAAGGCGTCTGACTTGGGCAGGCTGCTCGAACCTTGTCTCTGTGTCCCACCGCTGCTGCCTGATTGTTCCTGCCAAGCCATGTAGCCAGTGTCCATCTAGGCTATCCAACACGATTGCCAAGCCTATAAACAATTTCACGTTCTCATAGCCCCCAGGGGAAACAGGCTGACCTGCTTGATCCCATTTTGTAAAAGAGAAAATTAAAGCCCAGATAAGTGATTGACGTATTAATATGATGTAATTTGACAGTTAGAACAGCTGAGAAGTATTTGGGTTCCCAACCACAACTTTCTGCCCTTCCACGGAGCAAATCTCTACATTAGCATCAGCTCCAGTCACAGGCAGCTGGCTTCAACCCTTTTAATCCCAGCCAAGAACCCCACCCCCGACCCCCACCCCCACATACCCAGAAGCGGGGCTGAGGGAGTCGCTCAGGCTGACCAGGTGCATCCTGCCAGCCCCCTTCCCAGCTGTCCGCAGTGGGGAAGCCCTGAGCAACCACTTCCTTCCCAGAGGCTTCCGGTCCAAACCTGGTGGCTCAAAGCCACCTGCTGGTCAGCAGTCTCTCCCCACCCTCCCCCACCCCGCATTCATAAAGGCATCCTTGGCAAGCACCACACCCTGCCTACAAGGGCCACCATGGCCCTCAGAAAAAGCCAGCGCGCAGCTGCCATGCCAGCCTGCCCCTCCGAGGGTGACTAAGGATGAAGAAGCTTCCAGATTCCAAGTCTCCCTTCCTCACTTTCACCCCCAGACAAGCCAAGGCCTGTCTGTTCTTCCTTCCCTCACCCTCTCCCTGCTGCTCTTGCCTACAGTCTCCTACCCTGACTCTATGGCAACCCTCCTTACTGTCCCTGCTATCTCCACTCTGCCCCCAACGACAACCCCACTCTCTACAGTGCTTCCTCTTAGGGCAAAACATGAACCTGCTCATGTCCTTACCCCGCTCAAGAGCCCCCCATGGCTCCCCATTTACTATCAAAGTTAACCCACATCCCCTGCCCAACACTCAAGACCTTTCTTAATGACTGCCACCTCTGTATAGCAAGTTAATTTCTGCCACTGGGGTTTTACTCCCCAGCGTGTCGTGGAAATGCCTGCCACCTCTGTGAATGTGGGGGATCCGGGAGCACCTGTCTCCGGACCAGACCTATCAGGACTCCCCAAGGACCCAGCTGTCCTTCCCTCCAGTGGAAGAATGAGGGGATCCCAGGGGCTTGTTCCCTTTTATTCCTTTCCTAGACTCTGGACCCAGGAAAACTCCAAATTTTGTGGCTAACCCTGGGAAGAAGACTGAGAGCCCAGAACTGAGGAGACCAGAGAATTCTGCAGCCCCCAGTGGCTCTATCACAGCAGCTGCCCCCCACCACCATCCCCCAAGAGCAGAGGGCAGAAATGAAAAACAAACCTGGAAGCCTGCCCGGGAACAGAAAGCCAATCACCACGTTCTGACAGATAAGCAGCCCTGCCCAGTACTTACTAGTAGAGCCCCTCTCCAGACCAAGGGCCTCCGACTGCTTTCATTTGTAAGGGCCCTGCCCACCTTCTCTAAAAGGGGAATTCTCACCCCCCAGATGAGACCTGCCCTGCAATATATGCC